CAGGAGGAGGTTTATAATTACCCAGTTGCTTTATTTTATTATTATTGTTATGTTTTATTCAAACTTTTTCATCGGCGGCTTTTACGACTGTTTCAAAAGTTTGTTTTAAGCCGCTTATTTGGTTTGCTTTTTGTTTACGCAAGATTTCCTTTTAGGTAATTTGCTGCACAAAAGAGACTGACACTTGGCGTTCGAACTGCTAGTATTATGAGATAATTTAATAAATTACAGTAGAGAAGAGAAAATCACTTATTCATAAGCTGTTTACTTTTCTGTTGCTAGGTTTTTTCGTGGTTCGAGCGTGGTATCCGATTTCCTTGGAAACTTAGGACTGGTATCCAGTGGCTTCAGATAGTCTTGAAAGCGAATGGAACATACGCTTTCGACCACACTGGATCTGATGGCAATGTTTATCTTGCAAAAAGAAGTCAAAAACAGGGCGGAAACAGAGTTTTATCAAAACTTTTCAGGCTCTTTCCAGTTGATATTAAAAAATTCACAACTCACTCGAAAAACATCAGAACGGGTTGGAAATGGGTGGACATTTAACATGATTATATGCTCGAAAAAGTTGAATAAAACATAACAATAATAATAAAATAAAGCAACTGGGTAATTATAAACCTCCTCCTGTACACAAAAAGCCGCGACGTTTCTCCGACAAAACTCCTTAATTTCCTTCGTGAAAGTAACTGTGATACGAACGAAATTAACATTATGGTATGCAAACCTGGCTCGTCGACGGAATACTCATTGTTATGAACAGTGAATCACAGCATAAATGGGCCGAGAGGTGACAGAAAAGTTTAATGTGTATTCATTACAGAACAAACAAAGAACTTAAAATGATATAAAAAGAACACGAAAGCCACTAAACATGGCACGCACGCTGCAAACCAATAGTCTTCAGAATTATGCATCCCGTAGGAGTAGATACATCCATTCTTAAAATTACTTGGTGGTGTCAGCAGCCGTAGTTGACACCATCTATTCTATGACTTAGCTGGATAGTGGGTGGTGTCAATAGCTCAATTTGGCACCTCCTGGTGGTGGCAATAGCCCTAATTAGCACCTCTGGGTGTAGCTAATAGTTCAACTTAACATGTCCTAGTGGAGGCCATAGCTCCTTGTTGACACCACCGGTGGTGACAATCGGGCTATCCTTTTTATATTTTTTGTGCAGAATTCATCCTGGAAAACGTTTTCTTTCTGTCAACAACAGAACTGAACACGATTGACGTGTGGTGCGAGTGTAAAGAACCCTACATGGCGTTGAGATATAAGCAGTAGCGGTGTGTAGTGGTCAAATCTTTCTTCACAGTTTTTTGGACTCGTATCACTTTTGACTATTACAACCACTATTAAACAAACTATGGCTCACAAGACATGGCTATTAGTTTCTACGTGTGCAAACGAAACTGATTTATTAAGTTTTATCAAACTTTCAAAAAGAATGTCGAAACTCGAGCATATGCAAATGCACACATGATCACCGACAAGGTTATTCACAAGATCATAGTAACAAATCTGATGGAAATAAGTTAGAATTGCACGGCCATTCGAAGAAGTGGCCCGTATCATGAAAGATGGTGTAGTAGACACAATAAAAGATTTTTTGACCTCATTTATTTGTTCTGTACGTTTTAAAAGATACAGTACAATAGTCTATTAGTGAATTTTACTTCAATCGAATTGTAAACAAAAGTTCCTATTACAATATAGACATTTGCACGATTGAATATACTTATGCATATTATCATTTTCACAAGACTATCGTGAGAAAACCGGGCATAAAACAGTGATTTTGTTCTCTTTCAATTTAAAAAACGCCTTGAACATGAGTCGGTGAAAAAACCGTGCACAAAACTGTGGAAACACTTATTTGTACCCCGAACCATGCACTAATCAGTGGCATCGGACACAAATAAATGAGAAAGCCGGGCACAAAACATTCTCATCTCTGACTCCTGTTGATTTACGACGAGTGTACAAACACGCAAGGAACTTGAGTAGTAGTGACCACAACTAGAATAAACACACTGGCAGTTCGAGTTGCTTGTAGGTTTGAGATATTATACGTTATTATGAGTCATGCCGCAGTTAAAAAATAGGCAGCATTTCAAAAAGAGTCGATGAAAATTGAAAAAGAACACATAAAAAACGTCACAATTTTTTCATTTCTGCGCTTCTGGCGTTTAAAAGCTTTGTGTTTACCGAAACTAAAACACGTTTTCTTCCGAACAGATAAAATTAGTAGCCCGACTGTTTAGCGCATTTTGGTCTTGTAAAAATTACTTTAACTCGCCGATTTTTTTGCCGACTGAGGAAGTCATTTCTAGTGACCAGTTAGCCATTGATGATAACAAGAGTGATTTCTGACCAGTTTTTCGATCATGTAATGCTGGGCGGAGCTGCGTGGAACTACACGACAATTCAATTTCTTGAGCGTCTCTTCTGGGCTCTATATAGGGGACAATGATCGCCTGCGGCCATCATTGTCTTTGCTTCTCTGTTTGAATTTTCTTAGAACCGTTATGGACAAAAAGTCTTTCTTTCGCATTGTGATGTGTGTTAGCATCGCAGAGGATGTGCAAAACTAATAGTTGGTATGACCTTCTCTTTACTTCTTCATATTCTGCATCTTCCATAGTAACTATATTTATAGATAAACTTGTTGTTTGAAATAAGTTTTTCCAAAATAATTCTCGTCTATATAAAAGCTTTAGCAACGACGGACTTCATAAAAAACATACTAGTCTTGTAAAACTTAATAAAAAATCTGCGACAAAATAAGCCGACATGCCGTTCTATTTTATCGCAAGGTTTCACAATAAAAACTTCGTTTGCCCTCTGCACAGCTTTAGACATTCAACAAAGAACTGACGGCCATGCTCCAACAAATAAAGAAGAAAGCCTTCCTTCTGTAAGCTATTGAAAGAGAAAAGATATATCCCATATTTCATCGATGTATTTGATCAATAGTGAAGTATTACCTAATTTTTTAATAAACAAAGTAATCCAGTACTAAAAATTTCAGACGACAGAAGAGAATATAAATGCGAGGCTGAAAACTGTCGCGAACAGCTGACTGGCAGTTTGTGAGAATTAAATCAGCTTGTGAATAATATGATTGAAATGATAGAAAGTATGACTACCAAGAAAGCTTACAGAGTGAACAACCGTAGCTGTGAACCAGTTTTATTTTGATACCTCTGTTCTATCGGCGTGCACGATCGCACTATTTTCTTTTCTCAAGTCGCTCGAAGAATTTCGATCACCAGGATAACTTATAGAGGTTACTCCCGGTCATATCTGGAAATTACAGAAAATGATGACTCAACAACAACAACAGCAACCAGTATACACGATACCGATCGAATATCTAGAAGAACCAATCACACATTAGGTGTGTTACATTAAAAAACCAACTCGGGAAATATTTGACCAAATTTAATGAATCTCGGCGCATAAGGGTTTAAAACACTCTTTCTTTTGGATCCTTCAGATGTTTTTTCAAAAGTGTGGAAGTGGGCTTTCTAAACAACCATGGTTTCGAGGATACTCGACACAGGATAAACGTTTTTTTCGAAAAATCCTCCAGCTTCGAGAGATTTTAAATCACTATCGTATTCAGAACAGAATGGGCTACATTTTCAAAAAACATTCGGGCCTCCAGCACAAAGCTGAAATTATGTATGCCGGTTTTGGGCTCTGTATGATCAGTATTTGACTTTGTCCATTCTTCTGCTATAAGGTCGTGATGACTATGTATACCTATATGTTGTCTATTCACATGTGCATCACAGGGAAGAGAGAGAGAGAACACATCGTCTGTCTCTCTACATCATCATAGACACTCGTTGTTCGCATACCAGTAGCATTCTTCTTGTATATACACTCGCTTCTCACCTTCATATAATAATAATGTTCTGTTATTCGTTAAAATATGCTCGATACTTTGTGCTTTTCCGATTTTCCGAAAGAAGCTGGCAATGTTGGTCGAGGAAAACGTAAGGTAGCATTTTTTAGGCTGTCTCCTAAAAATTCTTTGTTATAAAAATGGTTTGATCTACGCACATAGCAGAAGAATTTACAAAGTCAAATACTGATCATACAAAGCGAAAAACGTTTCTGAACCATCAAAAGCCGGCCTACATAATTTAATTCTATTCATTGGTGTCCTTAAAAGCTAATTTTAACATAGCAGTTTTAAAACAAATTAAATTAAAATAAAATTTCGTAAAACTCTTAGAAGGCCACGTACACGTCATATGCGAACGTCAGCAAACCTCTTCGTTTGTACAGTTTTCAATTCTCTACTGAATGACGTGTTTAAAAGGCTTATATCATTTATCTATGCCAGGGTATTCAAATTCTAAAAAAGGCTAAATTTTTTAAAATTAAAACTTCAATTTAAGATTTCAACTTTGTGCTGGAGACTCGAATGTTCTTTGAAAATGTAGCCTATTCTGACGATAGTGATTTAAAAATCTCGTGAAGCTAGAAACTTTTTCAAAAAAACGTTATTCCTGTGTCGGGTATCCTCGAAACCATGGTTGCCTAGAAAGCTCACTTCCACACATTTTGAAAAACATCTGAATGAGCCAAAAGAAAGAGAGTCTTTTAAACCCTTATTCGCCGAGAATCTTAAATTTGGTCAAATTTAGAAAATTAGAATTTGGCCCAAGTGACACGAGGTTAGGTGAGACCAGTTTTCTCATATAACACGCCTATTGTCGATAGAAGAACCAAGGAGAGCGGGAAAACCGATCACATAGTCAGTTGGACCTCAGTTTCACCCTATATAAGAAATGCGGTTTATGACATTACCAGTGCTGATTATAGCATGTGACAAGTGCATGAATGAATTTTATTTTGTAAACGAACACATGGAAATTACAAGAAAGCTGGAGCTTGTTTGAATCATTGCACAAAATCTCTATCTGTAATATGAGTTTATCTGAATAATTTTATCCGCTCATGAAATGATGCATGATCGAGTAGATGTTCGTCGTTGTGAACCAAAACGCTGTGCTAGTCGTAACATTGGATCAATATAATAGTTTTTCATCCAGATTTCTTTATATGTCATTATTCTTTTTACTTGACGTGTTCGTCCAGCAATGATAATAGATTCTACAGCCAAAACGCGATTTCGGACTTGTGTAACTTCATAAAACCTCCCACTCATTGAACCAGATAATTCATCCGATTGAAAAAAGACTTTTTGATCAAAGTTGTCAGGACTCAGTGTTGCACATAGAACAAATACGAGACGTTGTTCATCAGCAGTTAATCGATGGTAATTTTTATAATCACAATAACGTTGAATATCATTATCATTGTATTCAATACAATAACAAACACAATTTAAATAATACATGCACTTGGCTGTATCATTCTCAGGCACATTTGCGACAGCCGTTGTGTCTTTTAAGCCAAGTTCTGTCGCTTGCAAATATGCCATTTTCTATTATTCCCTGTATTCTGTCTATATCTGTATGGAATCGCATGAGTCTCTCTCTTTATATATACAGATATACTTATCTGCAACCTACACATTGTTGCAAACTCTGTGAGAGAACGTGAATCACTCATTTCGTCACTAAAGAAATGTTTTATATATTACTTGTTGATAAGGAAAGAAATACAAAAAGATTGTCTTAAAGCTGGGGAAATACCATAGATTTCATATGGTGAAGTGTGACTCACACAGTTGAAATAAAATATTTTATGAGAAAAATGAGCAATGAGAAAGTTTTCACCGGTATTCTACCATTTGTTTGTACTGAATAGTCATCCTTATGTTTCTTCCTTATGTTTGTTATTCGTTAAAATATGCTCGATACTTTGTGCTTTTCCGATTTTCCGAAAAACAATTTTTTATTAGTCTTTTCCTCTGCTGTTTAACGCTGTTACTGCAAGAAAATTCAGTATGTATCCATTGTAGAAGAAAAAGAAAAACACGCACATACCTTCTTCTTTGTTTGGTAATGTTTATCTCAATTAAAAGTCACTGAGCCATAATTTAATGGCTCTTATTAATGTTGCTGGTGATACGTCATTGTGGATTCTGTGTGATTGCTGTATTTGATTACCATTGAGACTACGGAACCTATAAGGTATCCTTTTACGCTTGAATGATTTGATTGTTCTGCAGGCAACGAATGCGTTTTATTCACTGTAATGAGAAGATTCAACAAAGCCTTGAAAGAATATTATCCTAATCAACATATAAGAAAAAGTACTTGAACAGTTTGTATTTAAGCCAGGTCATTGCTCAAAAATTTGAAATACAAATGATTTTATTTTTTTTCATGGATAGATAGTCCAAAGTGTCCTCGTCAAAATGAGAGTCAAGCGAGACTCTAATCTTCGATCGCTTAGACCGGGCGTCGAATTTCCTGGGAGTCCCAGAACTGGTCATTTCTCACACGTGGGAACCTCACAAATGACTCTAGACAAGGGTTATCGGCTACACTGAGTCTCGTGGCAGTCTCTGTTTAACAATTTAAAAGCGTTGTTACATATGAACTATCCTGTATTCAACCTAAGCTGTTATAACTACTGTACTACCTTAAAACTACTCAACTTTATTTCATATCAGTATAATGTTACATAAAGATGAATGAACACTGATTCTATGTATATTTGCTCAAGAAAGTGAAAATGTTTTTCGTTCCCGATTTTCCTGTACTCACCGTCCTGGTGCTTATTTCATGGTAAAATATGACACGAATGGATAACAGTGATGTTTCATTCATCTTTATGTAACAATATACTGATTTGAAATAAAATGGAGTAGTAGCTCAGCGTAGCCGATAACCCTTGTCTAGAGTCATTTGTGAGGTTCCCACGTGTGAGAAATGACCAATTCTGGGACTCCCAGGAAATTCGACGCCCGATCTAAGCGATCGAAGATTAGAGTCTCGCTTGACTCTCATTTTGACGAGGACACTTTGGACTATCTATCCATGAAAAAAAATAAAATCATTTGTATTTCAAATTTTTGAGCAATGACCTGGCTTAAAT